AAAAAAAACATTTATTTAGAAAACGTCAGTTACATCTTATTAACTCGATTATTTATTATTTTTCGACATAATCACCCCCGTTAGCCAAACATTTGTTAAGTCGGTGCACAAGCTTTTGTATCCCACAGTCATAGAAGGTTGCCGCCTGTTGTCGGAAACACATTTCAACTTCATCTTTGATCTCATCATCCTCGTGGAATGATTTTCCACCAAGATGTGACTTCAGGTAAAGGAATAAATGGAAGTCGCTGGGCGCAAGGTCCGGGCTGTATGGCGGATGATCCAATACTTGCCATTTGAATCGTTTGAGTCGTGCTTTGGTTACGAGCGCTGTGTGAGGCCGAGCGTTGTCATGAAGCAAGCGGACTCCATTTGTCAGCATTCCCCTGGGTTTGTTTTGAATTGCCCTTCGAAGACGTTTCAAAGTCTGGCAATATGCAGCAGCATTAATTGTCGTTCCAGGAGGCATAAATTCCAACAGAAGAATGCCTTGTCTGTCCCAAAAAACAGAAGCCATGATTTTTTTCGCTGAAATCGAAGTTTTGAATTTCTTGGCTTTGGGTGAATTCGAATGGCGCCATTGCATTGATTGTTGCTTGGATTCAGGTGTATGGTTATAAACCCACGTCTCGTAGCCTGTCACAATGTGATCAAGGAACTCATCACCTGCTTCTGCATAGCGTGTGAGGAAGAAGTCGAGTGCAAAGCCCATCCTTTTCTTTTTGTGTTCTTCTGTTAACATTTTTGAAACCCAGCGCGCACACAATTTCCTGTACCTAACTTGACAGTCACAACTTCATAAAGAGTTGTCATTGACACTTCCGGTATGATCTGACGCAATTATTTCAATTTGAGACGTCTATTAGCGCGAATTGCTTCCTCCGTTCTCTGAAGAAGGGCATCACAGATGGCCGACCTGTTCTTTGTTCGTCATGAATATCGGTCCTACCTTCAGAGAAATGACGACACCACTCCGTTACATTTTGTCTATTCATAACGTTCCAACAATTTCTTTTTACGCGTTGAAACAATTTCTTTGTGAATATCCGCTGGTCTCTGACTTTTTGCATGAAGAAAACGTTTGACGGAGCGCACTTCGCATTTGGCGGGATTCTGAATCGCCGCAGCCATTTTAAACACGACCTACTCCAACCAGAATCAACGTTGAAATGCCGAACGACAGCGAGGAGAAAGCTAACAGTTTAAGGTTAAAACCTGTGTTGCCAACTTGCTTGCCAAAACTTTTCTTTTCCTCTGGCGTACGGTGTATCTTTACTTTTCGAAACACCCTCGTATTTCAATAGAATAGCTCTTTCATATAACAGGGGATGAAAAAAGAAATCAATCTTAGAAAAACCCAGTAAAACCCACTTTAGGGTGGGTTTTACCGGGTTTTTCAGAGTGGGTTATACCCAGTAAAACCCGGCCGGGTTTTATTGGGCAGGTGGGTTTTTTGCAACCCTGATAAGGTACCCAGCTAATGGATAAATACCTATTTTTCAATTCAAAACTACCGTTTGAATTTCTGGTTTCCTATATATGACGTTAGCACTTTTTGATTGGTAGATTCCACTGATGAAAGTACCAACAGATGGCGATAATTGTAGTTTTTTTTTTATTGTTACAGTAAAGCATATTTTATCTGTATCACATTTATCCGTAATTTATTTGCAGTCGCAGTTTATTCTTAATGTATGCTATGTTAAAATAATTTGTTTATATGACTGTAAAACATAAAATATTGATTGTATGTTTTTTTTCTGTACTTTGTTTTTTTTTCTATGTAATCTCTGAATATTTGCCATGGATTTCAGAAACTCTCAAGGCTTCCTCGACTCTAAAATATAATTTTTCCCCCTTCAATTTTTTTTCTTCTTAATTGCCTATGTGTATGGAAAGAATTGTATATTTTTGTGTGCTCAAATTATTAAGTCATCACCAGCATTGGCATGACAGCCCTTTGTGAGCCTGGGCCTTCCTCAGAAGCTTTTCCCATTCTGCCCTTCTCCCAGTAATTGATTTACAGTTCTTTATTTTAAGGTTTTAGGATGGCAAAATCCTCTCCACACATTCTTTCCATCTCTTTTTGGGCCGACGAATTGACGAAG